AATCTTAATAGTACTGATATGTAGTTTATATTCTCTAAGGTGCTTTCCTGCTATACCCATTTCATGAGATCTAAAATTTTCTTTTCATAAAATCTATCTTTTGTGATGATGATATATTAATTCTAAGTTAATATCTATATTATTTTGATACTCTGGTTATTCTGAAGAAGACTTATTGTAAACCTGTTATCATTTTTGACGATATTGAAAGTTTGTATTGGACTACGATCCCTTAATTTTTTTCACAGTGGGTTTTCCATGTAAAAATTTTAATGTCTCACTTTGTGACTGATTTATTGTTCTACTATTTATACTGCTCTAGTTAATATTTATTTTTGATAACAAGTTCGATATTTTAATGAGAAACCTTGCTCTAGTTAATATTTACTTTTGATAATAAATTGATATTTTGATGAGAAACTTAATTTAATATATAGAAAAAAAAAATTATTTTGTTATAATAAATTTTTTCAACCGTTTCCACCCATAATAATACGCAGAGCCTGTGTGGGACATATTGCAGTAGTCATATGGCACCGAGCTTGGACGAAGGAGCGTGATGGAGTGACCACCAACGCGTTTATTGAACGAAGTAGCATGATGTAGCATGCTGACACACCGACGGCAAAGTCCATAAGGCTTCTGATGCACTGACGGAGGAGTGTGGGCCCCCGTCTCACCCCGAAGGACCAACTACTTAGTGGTCCTCGTCGCCCTCGCGTGAGCAGAGGTGCAGGTGACGCTGCGTGTCACCTTCGCAACGAGCAATGGGTCTCGCCGCCTTCGCGCGAGCATGGGAGTAGGCGGCACTGTGCGGCACCTCCATGGCCAACGACAACATTGAGGGTGAGGGGTCCAACAGGGGCCATGTAGCCTCCTCGCCGATGTGGTCTCACACCCCCTCCTCGTGCCCCTTCCTGACCGACGCGCTCTCCTCGTGCCCCCTCATCAGCATTAGCCACGGGCAAGGAAGTAGGGGCAACTCGCCCTAATGACTGACGACGACGATGAGGATCGGGTTGCAGTTGGGGCGACCATGCACAAGGCGGAGTGGGGCCGCCGGTGAGGCAGAGGTGTGGCCAGGCTTGGCACAGGCGGAGGGGAGGCTAGGTTATGGCAGGAATTTTTCAAAATATCGAGGGCCGCAGTTAGAGCCGTTCTATGAGAAATTCTGTAACTTCAAAGCTTTTTCAAAGAATTTACCCAATAATATATTATTTTATTCTTAATTAGATCATGCCATGTGATTATAGTCGGCTGATCCATTAAGTCAGCCTTTCAGATGGCCGTCAACAATAAAGTTTGAGAGAAATTAAAAATCCAATCTCAATTAATAGCATAAAATAAATCATACTTTAGGTTTTTTTTGTCTTTAATGTTTCATAAAGAAAGTTTTTTTAGTTCCAAAGCGGTGATACAGATCAATTATCACAACCAACAAACTAGAATTACACCATCAATATCTTTTACAGAATAAAAAGAGCGATCACACCTAAAGAAATTTAATCAAAAGCTTGGATAAATTATGAGGAGACTAATAGCTTCATGATATTATTCTTAATTCTATCGTCACAAAAGTATAGGTTCAATCAACAAAGACCTGATGCGATCCTCAATCACTTGATCGGGTTTTCCATGTCCATCTCCGAATTGGTACATGCATTGGGCCATTCAAGAGACATTAATAATCATCATTTTTAGGTTTTCTTCAAAATGAGAAGTGAAACTTAGATCTCCATTTATTGCTCTCCAATTCCCCCTAATCAATCGCCAAATATGGTCACGAGCCGCGTACTCCGATAAACCTCTCTCATGCATGTAGCACTGGACAGATTTGGGCACATCAGCTCTTTCAAGCTCGTCCTGCACAAAAACAACCGATGCAAAGAGGAGAAAATGTGTGAACTCTTTATCGCCATGATTCCCTGAACGAATGATAATTATGGTGCATTTCAAATACCTTGGATGACCGTCTTGCAATCTCAGGACGGCTGTGGAAGTCTTCCAAGGTCTCTTGACTTACATCGTCACTGGTGCAATAAGCAAGAGTCAATATCAGGGGACCCGATACCGATACTAGTGCGTTCTCCAAGTACTCTTCAAGATTGGGTGTGTAGCCCTGGTGGTACCACCTTGCTTCCACCATGTGTGCCTTGCATACATCTGCCCACTGAATCCAAGGGTTGCACTGTTTAGAAAGTGGAACTGAATGATTGATGATACACAAAAGAGGGAGGATGGGATCGATATGTTACTGCTTTTTTTAGGTGTGGATTTATATCTAGTCCCTTCTCTTTCATAACATTGAATGCGGTGTCATTTGTAGTGTTGAGGAGGGCTAGAAAACATATCTTCATGTACTCTGGAAGTTTGTCCGTTGCATTAACGTCCCATCTGCAACATCCATCCGAGTAGATGTTATCAGGAATCAACAATCGTTGAAATTACATCTATTGCATTCATGAGGTGGAGTTCTTCATCACCTATCGACGGCATCCGTGAAAAGCTCGAGCTCATCCATGGTGCCGTAAACATCATACACATCATCTATTGTTGTTATCAGGCAGTTTGCCTTTGTCTGCGCCTCCCTGCATCTCGCAAACTGTAGCTAAAAAGCCCAGCCAACCGTCCAGAAATAGTTCTCCATCAACCTGTTCGTCGAAAATGGAAACCTCTGCGCCAGGCCAAGATTGCTCCACGATCTGATCGACAGCCAGAAGTTTGTGCTGAAGTTTGCTAATTCATGCACGAGGGCAGAATGTACATGACATGATTCAAGTAAAGCAAGCTCAAAATACCTCGACACTTCTCTGAGTTCCCTCTGATGTATGCTCTGAACCCTGTTGAAGTCCAACTTAGCCAATTCAAGCAGGACAGGGTTTGTGTTCGCTTCCCTTTGGTATGAACCACCTGGTCTGTAACCTCGGCATCCTCCAGTTCAATGGAAGCTTCAAGGCATGGGCTACGTGCTCCCTGAGATGAGGCTCAAGTGATCCCACCATCAGGCTCTTGAGCTGTTTAGTTGTGAAGTTTGTAGCTTCTTCCAGCACGTGCTCTCCTTCCATTGCAAGATGGGAAGCCTCGGACAAGCTCACCAATCCTTCAGTCTGGTGGCGAAGGCTGGCTTTCAAGTTTCCCTTCTTATCCATAAATCGGTTGAATGCCCTTCAGTCCATCCACATAATTTGTGCATGTTAGATTGTGACACCATGATAGAACAGAATAAACACAAAATTCCAATTGTATGTTAGGCTATTAACGTGGCATAATTGTATGACTAATTGGACATATTTCTAATTGTCTCAGTTTCATGAAAGTAATTGTTCTAGCAATTTATAGAAGTACATCGACGACAATGTTGGATCAGTTGCCAAGAAAGGAGTAAAGCAGGATGGATATATAGCTTAATCACCTTCAGAAACAGCAAACCCATGTTCTCTGAGAAGCCTGAACATAAGACCCGTGGCATGAAGATTATCCTTCAGCAACATGCTCATCTCTTCCATGGAACCGTATATAGTCCATAAAGCATCCTTAGCATCCTCCTTAAAGTGATACGCCACCCCAAGCTGCCGCAGGTGATCGATCAGTTGAAGCTGATCCTCAATTCCCTTCTTCGTGTAGATCAGCTGTTTCACGTCCTCTGTCAGTTTGTCCATCCTTCTTGCGTTATTCTCCTCCACCTGATGAAAGCTAGTCAGTAACCAATGCGAACTATAGATAAAACTCAAGCTTACATATTGCATGCACGCCGTCCTTGGTGTCAGTTGTTAGCGATTGTATGTATTTGTCACTCCACGAGCTCGGTTGGTAATCAGCCGATCGCCGAGGAGGAGGAGTCCGCGCAGTACACCGGATTGGCAGTAGGATGCATCGTCGCGGTGAAGACTTGGAGGGGGCAGTCCGGGGATAGGCACCGATCAAGCTGCAGCAGAAGGACGGAGCAGAAGAGCAGAAAGCCATTTGGCTCGGTGGATAACACTCAGTAGAAGATCCGAGAATCTGATGGGCTTTGTAATGGCGGTGTTGGCGTTGGATTTATAGTGCCGGAGGCGGTGAAATCAGGATGGATTCAGTAACGAGGCTCTCGCGCCTCTCGACCTACGTCCGACCTCTCTAAAACGAGATTCACAAGCAGAATGCTAAGCGGCCACGTACGTACAGCCTCATTTATATCCACAAAAGCTCCACATCATCGTGTTCCAACCAAATGTAATTCCAAGTTTCCAAAAATATCTCTGACATCAGATTGGAAGAAGCCACTTAAAAAAAAGTTGATTTGATTAACTTCGACGCTTAATTCAATCGTATAGTATCGCTTTGAGTCCAAATAATCTTCAAAGGCAAATCCGGCATTCTCAAAAGAGAAAAAGAAAGTCCACTTGTATGATCATCAACATGCGCAGCTTATGCAATTGTAATACAACCGTCTATTAATCTCGCATTCAGAAAAGGCAGAGTCCACTTGTATGATCATCAATATGTAAACCCTATGCTATTGTACTTCATTTTATTCGCACAATAATAGAGTGTAGACAACAAAAATAATAATTAAGTTAATAGTGTGTGCTTGTGCGCTGTGAAACTCATGGGAAGGTTAGTTTAGGCGTAAATGAAACTCGCATTAAGCTACTGTTTTTTTTTTTTTTTGTGACATCTTCATTTGATTAAATTCGAAGATGAGTAAAAATTAAAATTTATTTATAAGAATATGATACATATTATCAGTATTAACTTTGGCTTAATCAATTTGAACCACTCTAAATGCAGCCGCCAACAGTTCAGCTAAGTACCTAATCGAATATTATATTCCTTTCGTTTCCTAACTCGTACCTACAACAGAATCGGACATTTAGCAGGCTAAATTAATCTGCACTTAATTTATAATGCATCGTACCTATCACATTAAACAGGTCAGATGGATTATGACTTCCACTGACAATGCAAACATGTATATATATATTTCATTGTATATCCTAATTTGTAGCTACAAACTGTAGTGACTAAACCTGAATCTGACATCATACCACCATGATACAAATCTTGGTAAATGTTGTTCATCGAGAGTAGATTATACCTGCAATTTACAATCCCTCTTATCTCTCTAGTGTACCAACTTGATCAAAAACCCAACTATTTTCGGCTACCAAAAGAAGATGCTGCAAGACAATTTAGCCTATTACAAAAACAAAAACAAAAAAAATCAGTGATCCCCCTTTGTTTTCGGCCTCATGCATCCACAGAAGAGATTCTTCTTCATCTTTCTACCACAGTCTCTCCTCCCATATATAATGTCCTTTAGAAGAATTCTTGATCTGTCTCGAACCCTAGTGTCCTTCCTCGCATGCTGTTCTTCAAGTTTCAGCAAGACATACTGGATTTTATGCAGTTCCAGCTCTAGCCTTTCTATCTTATCTGATTCCCTTCTTGCTTGTTCTGCAATTTGCCGTCTTCTTCTGCTGCCACCATCTCCAGAGTTTGTGTCCATACTATCTGAGGAATGGAGCTCTTCAGCCTTGTTGGTCAACTTGTTATTTGTATCAATTAGCTCAATGACAGCTCCTTCTGCATCATTTAACTGTGGATAAATTGTATTATATCCTAGACTTGCAGGAAGCTTCCCCATTTGAGAGCTTTCCATTTTCCTCTTCAAATCCTTCACATCCATTTCGAGGTCCAATAACTTTCGCAAGTCAGTTTGAAGCCTTGGGAGGACCATTTTGGACAATTCTTGTTGGGATGCCAAAGCTCTATTGGGCATCTCTAACCTGTCAACACTCAACTCCTTCTCAACCACCAGCTCTGAAGAAGGATATTTGGAATTTTCTTCCTCTATAGACTCTATGCCATGTTCCATGGCAGCTGTTGATGCTTTCCATTTCTGGTTGCTGCAATCTCTTTCAGCAGCTTCCCATAATTGATCATCAATGTCGATCCTGCTTGGACCATCAGAACAAATAGTCCTATAGTGCAAATAACTTGACTCCTGCTCGAGTTTATTATCTTTCATCATTTGCCCATACTTCCCTCTGGAGATTTCATTAACATTTTGTCCCTCATCATCAACATCACACTGCCCTGCAAGTGCCTCATTATTTAACCCATCAACATCATTACTTGAAGCCTCTAAGTTGGAATCAGCATCAAAGTTTTCCTGCACTCTGTAACTTCTGATATGTATTATCATCTTTTGAAGAGCTTCTACTTTAGTAATCAATTTCTCCAACTCTGGAACGCCTTTGACATCCAAGACTTTATGACCTTCACCAGATTGACAAGAACCATGATGCAGATAAGAAACCAAGGGCAAATCCTGGAGACAGAAAAGTCAGAGTGTCAGAAGTGAAAGTTGCAGATTCAATTAGCCAATAGTGTTAGCTTACCTCAGAAAGTAAAGCACAATTTTATCCTCAAAACGCAAAAATGAAATTTCTGGTGATTTGAATCTTTTTTTTTTTAATCATGCCCTGAAAGCACATTGATCCAAAATTTTAGGCATGTCTTTAATTTGATCCAGTGACACAGATTTTAAGACAGTTGAACTTTGCCTATATCTTAGTTACCTTTTGTCAACTTGTCACTTTGATAGTCTTCGAGTGAACTTAACTGATCTTCGAATATAGATTGAATTTTGAACTATGATCAAGATTGACAACATGTTCAGATTCAATAGTGCTAAGAAGTGTACCTCTTTCTCATAGTGGTTTGATTGTGTATGCTTTGACATTGTCATAATTAGTTTTTCTAGAGAGATAATACCATTCCACAAAGATGTTATGCATGCTGGATAAACATCCACGACAGCCTTCAACCCATTATTTTCTCCCTCTAAATCATCATTCTTTTTCTTCAGAGTATCCACATAATCCTTTGTTAAAGGTGCCTCCATATCTAGCGTCTCCTTTTGCAATATTAAACTAACTTCCCCTGCTAATAGCAGCTCATGAACTTTTTCTTCATATAATGCAGCATAGGCTGTGGAGAGTTGAACATCACTTAACAATGCTGTGATTTCCCCTTCGCAGCGCTCATTTTCAGCTACTTCTTTCTGAAGGTCTGAGATCAAATCCTCCTCACTGTTCACAAGTAACTTGACTTCTTCACACATTTGATTGATTTCCTCTTGAAGCACCATATTTGCTTCATAAAGGTATCTGACCTCAATGTTCCTCTGTGCAAGTGCTTCTGATAAAGTCGAAATATTCTGCTCCAAATCTTCTTTGACCAGCTTACTCATTTCATTTTCAGCTATTTCTTTCTGAAGTTCTGAAATCAAATCTTCCTCACTGTTCACAAGCAACTTAACTTCTGCACACATTTGATTAATTTCCTCTTGCAGCACCTCATTTGCTTCATTAAGATATCTGATCTCATCATTCCTGTGGTCAAGCACTTTTGATAAAGTTGAAATCTTCTGCTCCAACTCTTCTTTGACCAGTTTATTCACTTCATCATCCAGCTGAAGTCCCTTGAGGATTCTACATAATTCTGAGTTCTTTTGTTGACTTGACTGGAACTTCTGATTTGTTTCTGATAGCTGTGTCTGTTTCTGTATCAGTAGAGTCTCTACACACTGACTTTGAAGATTTAGTTCATCTAGGACTTTTGTAGTTGTAATTAAATCAAACTCTGAAAGCAGTAAATGATTTCTAAAGTCTTCTTCTAGACAAGTAATGGACTCGCCAAGATGCATTTTCTCTTCCTCGAGAACCTTTATCTTCCAATTTAGTCTATTATTCTCTGCATCAAGACCTTTATTAATAACATTAAGAGAATCCAGATTATAACTGAGAGACCTCAACTCCAACAATCTTTCTGCACTAAGGCTCTTAAAGAAGACAAAAATATGATCCAGTTCTATTGCCTCTGCAAGGACGTCAATATGTTCCTCTTCCAACATGCGATGCTTTTGTTTTAAACTGTAAGATTCTTCCATGAGAATCATCTTTTCTTCAATCAAATTTAAAATTTCACATTTAGACATCTGGAGAGCATCTTGCAGATCTGTCAACTGCCCATGGACAGCCTTTATTTCAGTCTCCAGTACTACCTCCCTTTGGTTGTTTGCTTCCACATCCTTCACTAGTTTTTCATTCAAGCTTAAGATTTTGTGCTTCTGTTTTCCTAATGCTAATAATTCTTCGGTTTTGATGTCAAGCTCCCTTTCAAGAGAACATTTCTCCGATCTTAGACTGATGAGATCCTGTATTATATGTCTCAGAAGCGTGGCAAACACTGATATCTCTATATGCAGTTGTTGATTATCACCCTCGGCTTCTGAGGTAAAATTCAACAGCTTTTTAATTTCAGTCAAGATAATATTAAATTCATCCTGGATTTCATCCAAGTTACCAAAGTCCTTGTCAAAAATAAGTGTGTTCCAGAGTAAATGAATTCCATTATTTAAATTCTCCTTTTGCTCCGACAATAACAGTATGTTGTTGATATGCATGAGCTTTTCCTGTTCAAGTTCTGAAATAATTGTCTCGGCACTATTACAATTCTGTATGTGCTTCTGACATTCTATGGAAAGATCCAAGTTCCTTCCATTTACATCAAACAAACTTCTTTGCAAGATAAAATTTCCCATCAGAGCACCAATCAGATTATTTTCTTCTGCTTCAAGCTCCTCCTCTTTAAGCTGGTTTTCCTGTCGCAGGAGAAAGATCTGGTTCTCTAATGTGGCTATCCTACTCTTGTATGATTGAATATGGGTTTCATGCTCTTCTTTTTCTAGCTTCAGATGATCTTGTAGATCCTTGACCTGATGGGTTAAAAAATCTCTTTCTCTTGTTAATTTCAAGTTCTTATCCTTCAAGTCAGTGAACATACTCTCCAGGTTTATCAGATTCAGGGTGATTCTTTCTACCTAGCATGCAAACATGAAAATCAATGTAATCTGAGAATGGAAAAATATCTTGGTAAAAATGGAAAATTGCTATCATGTGACAAGAAATAATAGTTATTGCTTAAAAAGAGATAATATACGAGAGAGGGAGAGGGAGAAAGAGTGACCTGAGAAACAAGAGTGTCCTCAACAAAATGACCAGAGTTCTGAGCACGCAGGGACTGATAGGAGTCTTCTAAGTCTTTTAACTCTGACTTCAGAAAAACAGCTTCATTTCTTACCTCCGATAGGGAGTTCTCCGAGAAGGAATTCTTGTAGGAAAGCTTCTCTACAATCTGAGAAAGAATCTCTAACTTAGATAGAAGATTGTTCCTCTCGGCAAAAAGACCAGAGTTATGGTTGCTGAGTGATTGACAAGATTCTTCTAAGTCTTTCAACTTTGACCTCAAAGACCCAACTTCACTGCTTACAACAGTTAGGGAGTCCTCCAAGAATGAGTTTTTGACATAAAGCTTCTCTACATTCTGAGTAAGAACCTCCACCTGAGAAAGAAGAGTGTTCCTTTCAACAAGAAGACCAGAGTGCTGATTGCGAAGAGACTGACAAGATTCTTCAGAGTCTTTCAACTTTGACCTCAGACACCCAACTAGAGTGCTTATATTAGATAGAGAGTTTTCCAGGTTAGAATATTTGTCTGAAATCTTATTTACATTCTGAGTAAGAATCTCTAATTGAGATAGAAGATTCTCCCTTTCAGCAAGAAAAACAGACTTCATATTACCAAGTGACTGTGTGGATTCTTCAGAGACTTTTAACTTTGACCTCAGACACTCAACTTCACTGCTTGCATTAATTAATGAGTTCTCCAAGAAGGAATTTTTCTCCGAAAGCTTCTCTATATCCTGGGTAAGGATCGCTGCCTGGGACAGAAGAGTGCCTCTTTCAGAAATAAGGCAGAAGTTCTGATCACACAGTGAACTACAGGAACTTTCAAGGTTTATTAACTTTGACCTCAAACATCCAACTTCATTGTTTGCATCAGATAGGGAGTTCTCCAGGACGGAACTTTTCTGTGAAAGCTTCTCCATGTTCTGAGTAAGAAACTGTACCTGACAGACAAGAGCTGTCTTTTCAGCAAGAAGTCCAGAGTTCTGACCACTAATAGACAGACAGAATTCTTCAGAATCCTTCAAGTTTGACCTTAAACACTCAACTTCATTGCTCATCTCGGATAGAGACTTCTCCAAGAAGGACTTCTTGTCTAAGAGTGTCTCCACATTCTGAATAAGAATCTCTACCTTAGAAAGCAAGGTGTTCCTTTCAGCAAAGATATCAGACTTTTGCTCAATGAGAGACTGACAGGATTCTTCAGATTCCTTCAACTTTGACCTCAAATTCCCAGCTTCATTGTTCATATCAGACAGGGACTTCTCCAAGAAGGAATTCTTGTCTGAGAGCTTTTCCCCATTCAGAGTTAGAATTTCTACCTGAGAAAGAAGAGAATTTCTCTTGGCTAGAAGACCAGAGTTCTGATCACTGAGAGACTGACAGGATTCTTCAAAGTCCTTCAATTTTGAACTCAGATACCCAACTTCGCTGCTTATATCAGATAGTGAGTTCTCCAAAATCAAACTTTTCTCTGAATGCTTCTCCACATTCTGAGTAAGGCTCTCTACCTGAGAGAGAAGACTGTTCCTTTCAGCAAGAAGAGCAAAATGCTGATCGCTGAGCGACTGATAGGATTCTTCAAAAATTTTCAACTTTGGCCTCAAACACCCAAGTTCAGTGCTTAAGCAAAAAAGAGAGTTCTCCAAGAGGGTTTTTTCTCTGGAAAGGGTATCCACATCCTTTGAAAGAATTTCTACCTTAGAGATGAGCACATTCTTCTCAGCAATATTGGTCGAAATTTTTCTGTTGAGAGATTCGTGCAATTCCTTCAGTGCTAAAATCTTTTCTCTTACAACTCCTAACTCTATGTGCACATCAGATAGTGAACTTTCCAATGCTGTGTTCTTCTTTAAAATATCGTCCCTCTCTCTCAGCTTCTCCACAAAATCAGCTTCATACTTCTTGCAGATAGCTTTCAAGTCAGAATTTTCATTTTGCAAATCTTTTATGGCTGTTTCAAGGGACTCAGCATGTATCCTGGCAGCTACCTTTTCCTCCATAAGTTCTTGGTGTTTCACTTCCAAGTCATTCCTAATTTCTTTAATATGGCACAGCTCTTGAATAAAGATTTCCTTTTCGCCAACAAGGAGCCCAACTTCATCTTCAAGGATCCTTTTTTTCTCAGCCAACAAATTGATCTTGTCTTGGAGCATTTTGTTCATCAAGCTAGAGTGAAGATTTTGTTCATTTAATCTGTCATTTTCATCATTAAGCTTGCATATCTTTTCCTGGAGATCTATACTATACAGCTCCATATCCCTTAACTCATTGATACCTCTTTGAATTTCTTGACTCAAATGATTTACCTCTTCCTGAGATTGAGTGTGCAGCTTTTCCTCCAAGAGGACAGCCATCTCAGCCAGCATACATTTCTGGTGTTTGTCTTCAATTGTATTGTGGAATTTTTCTAATGCCTGCTGATTCTGAATAAGTTTGTACTCCTGCATATCTGCTTTCTTTCTTAGCATCTCTAGTACCATTGATAGAGATTGGTTAAGTTCTTCACAACTCTGCAGGTTCTTCACTTTGCTCAGCATTTCATCATTGAGTTTATTCAATTCATTTTGTGTGGCAGAGAGACAAGATTCAAGAACTGAGGTTCTTTCAGGAGATACTTGGTATTGAATGTTATCTGCATCCTTCTCAGAGCTCATTTTAGAGAGAGTACGATTCAAGCCTTGATGCTCATTTTCTGTTTTATTAGAACGATCAGATTCTGCCATTATCAGAATCTTCAGATTATGGTTCCCAGCTGATAACTGGGAAATGTCTTGTTGGTGACCTTTTGCTACATAGCTTGAATCTTGTTTCTCCATAAGTTTAGTGTTTTCTACAGGCCAAAATTTTGAGTTATTGTCAACACTTTCTCCCTCTTCCTCCTGAAAATTTAGTCCTTTTCTTGCTCTCCCATCAGATGTCATGCGTGCTGCCCCATCCCCAATTGCAAACATCTCATTCAATTGCTTCAAACCCTTGTTTCTTGAAGATAAACTACTTTGTTCAGAATATAACCCATTTCTTCTAAGTACATGTGAATCTAATGACAAGCACAATGCATCCTTCTGTAACTCATTAGGATCAAATAACGCACGAAGGGCCGGTGGCACTTCAGGTGTGTGAGGTTCTGCCTCATTTCCAAAAGAACCATAAGGTGATCCATCTGACATCACCAACGGGAATTGGCTAGGGAATGCCTCTGCCATTGTTCGATGAGCCTGATGAAGTGCTCCTGTTGCATGATCATATCTCTCTGCTAATGCACGGTATGCTCGGTAAAGTTCCTCCACCAATTTCATGAGCTCTGGACGCTTCTTGTAGTACATCTCTGCTCTCCTTGCAAAGGAATCAGCATCTTCTTCTAACATCTTGATTATTGTGTTGACCTTCATGTCTGTATCTGATTACAGAGTGCTCCTTTAGGAAAAGTGATTCCAAACTATTTTACAGTAAGATCACATTTTACAGATAATGTAACTTTAACCTACAAATGAAATAATGATCAAGTTATAGACAAAAACCAATGCAATATGTTATTGATGACACTTGTCTTTAGCTGATAACTCTGATGTATTTCTATCCATCATGTTGCTCCTATCCACAACGATGAAGCTCGTATATATACAATTGCTGCTTAGAAATCAAATTCCAGATTACAGGCTTTGGATTTAGAAGTTACAAAATAATTAGTAAAGTGACTAAGTATATTGATTAATAATATACTGAATGCATTAAGTTCATTAAGTTGTCAAGTAGGATGGCTTCGCTTCATATAAGGTAAGGATCTGGTCAAATTTGGTCAACCTGCTGACTTGTCCAAAGAAGCTGACCTAAACCTTTTCATTGTGCAGGTGTATGCACATCAAGGGGAAAGTTCCACATCAGACAACACAATGCTCTCTCCAATCGAGGAGACACCAAAGGTTCCAACATGCTGCTACTTCCTTTATCGTTTACCTATGAAAGTGAAGGAATCACCAGTAATTTGTTCAGTGGGATCCTCCTGCAAACCTCAAGTCAATTTTAGATGTGGCAAAAAGCTTGAGATGTACAGAGCACAAGGAGCTAGATCTTTTTACTTATGGAGAAAGTCCCATTCAAATCCAGTGAAATATGATGTTTGAATCAAATGAGTGAGATGAAAATTGTGAAAATATGAGCAAAGTTAAAAGAGGATACTAACCAATCAGCAAGAGAATTCAAACTAATTGCTAAACAAATAATCTTTCTTATCAATAAAGTGAAGTATACAAGTGTGAAGCTCAATTTTTCAAAATGATGATGAAGACTAAAAATAATAAGAACCTGCAAGATTCTCCTGAAGCCATTTTGAATTCTTTGGGCTGATATGGCTGTCCCACCACCATGAATAAAGTCGTCTTGATTCAGCATGCAACCTGTCCGCCATGAGCTCAAGCATACAAAGTAATATGCTCCTTTTAATCTTGAAAAGCGTAATTGCTATATCTCTGGTGATGATCTATGCCAGAACAAATGACGAACAAAACCACTGAAACCTACTCTGTTTGACACAAAATCTTTCAGCTAGAAAATTAATTTGCAATATTGCAATTTACCTAGGCAATGCACAAGTATCAGAAAGTAGTGGGCTTCCAGAAACTTGGAAGTAAATTTTGAATTCATGACGAGCAAAAAGGTCATCTTCTAAATAAATCTGAGCTATAAGCAAACCAGGAAGTTTCTGATGCCTTCACTCTGTTAGGAATCACGGCATCAGTAACAGTAAAAATCAGCACGAAAATAATATTTCTTGAGAGAAGGATTCACTGACATTGCTAACAGCAAAAAGGGGGTTTCCACCATCTCCACTCAAAGAATCTCTAGTTCATAGAAACGAATTATGCAACCAAAATTGTCAACCTTGCTCAAATTTGCACCATCTAGAAAACGAGAAATGGTTGTTTTGCATTAGCTCGATCAGAAGAGGAGACAATGTCGACTAAGACGTGGTAGAGAGATGGAGCCTGCTAAGAAAAAAAAACGGTTTACTGCAGAACAAAAACCAATGCCAGGAACAAAAGAAAAAGGCACTGTCTTAAACTGTCTTTTCTCACAAAATCATTAAAAAGGACAAATTGTCTCTTGCAGAAGCCATAACGGGGATAGATCACATGAAGTCTGGCATGCAAAATCAAACAAGTAGGAATAGTATAGAAGGACTTAAGAAAGAACACGAGAATATGGTTTCCTTGTAAATGGCTTTCGTCACCAAATGCTACTTGTTAGAAGATGATATACCACAGCTCCAAGAAAAGGAGTAAAGGTTTCTCTGTTCTACATGGATTTTTAATGAGTTTGATCTTGTGCAAGAGAAAAGGCAGCTGATTGACTTTCTTGATATCAGAGTGTTAAAGAAAACCAAGAAAAAGATTCTGCATAAGGTTAAGACCTCGCAGTGTCGGGATCGAACGGCTTCCGAGCTTGTACAACAGATCGTCGTGAGCATTAATATCCCATAGCAAGAACCCAAAACTCCAAAACCATGAAACCGAGCTCACCACGCAGATCACGAGAAATACATCATAATGCGAGAGGGAAAAAGAAAAATCCAATCTTGCGGGAGAAGAAGCCATACCAAAGAGCAAATCCGAAGCGGGCACAAACAAGCAGCTGCAATGATGGAAGCCAGCTATTCTCCTCAGCCACTCTCAGCGGTCAGCCCACCCTCCTTCCCACCGATCCCATCTTTTTGGTACTGCCAAGACAAAAGGCGAAGTCTGCCGTGCGCACAAGAAAAGCAGGACGCCAGAGCACAAAGGACGAGACGGAACGGGGAGAGCCGTCGTTTAAATCTCGGTGCAACGCCATTGCGATTTGGGAGTAACAGCCGATGAGTTATATGGAAAGCAAACGGCGTCGTGTAAGCCTTGGAGCAAGGGGAGCGGATCCAATTAGTCTGCTATGATTTGGCCGAGGATGTGTGCTTCCGTTCTTCCCGTTGTAGTTTGCGCGCTGCCGCTGTTCGCATGTCTGAGGGAAGCCAGCGTGCAGGATTTGCTCCGGGTTGCCACTGACGGATTCTAATAGGACGTGGGAGGTGGGCCGTCGTGAAGAGACGGAACCCTGGACTGTGGCTGCGATGGGACAGGGAGTCAGTGACTTCCCGGGTCCCTCCGTTGCTAAGGGCTGATAAGTATCGAAGTTTGGAAGTGAGAGAGTTCCTTAATACAACGTCCGACCATCGATTAGCCATAAGATTGTGCAAAGAATTATTTGGACAATGGTTACGGAGCAATGATCTTATCGAGTCAGTATGTTAATGCCACGCAACAGATCTTATAGAATCGAGATGAATTAATCCTTATCGGTACTACGTCATCAATCTTATGGAATCAGGTTCTGTTTGACATGCTGACCGAATGGGTGTCACGTATGAGTGATTATCTATATGTTATGCCTCGTATCAGATGCATAGATCATATCCGATGTGGAATTAGTTGGATATTCACCTTAATACTTGGCTATATATATATATATAATTTTTTAGTATCATACTAATATAAGCTTACAAGAAATGTATACTGTTGAGCTCCTTATAATTAATTATCTTTAGAATTTCAGTTCTCATATTTTTAAAAGTTACAGATTTTTTTACTTATAAAAATAAAATATTCAATTTCGTTTCGCCTCATATCATCCATTATACTAACGAAAATATTATAGAATTTATTACTAAGCATGAGCGGACTCTATCTCATTTTAATTTATCACAAAGCATATGGTATTTTCATTAGGAGAGTTATCATGAGAAAAAATTAGATTAAATATTTTATTTTTATAAGTTTATAGATCATAATATAAATTTTAAAAATATAAGAATCGAAATACTAAATATAATTAAGTATAAAATATATAATTTATAATTAATTTGATTTAGTTTAATAATATTCGAGTGACGATAAATTGATAAAGTAGCAAGTCAAAGTCAATTCAACAAACCTTCGACGGGCTAATACCAAAATTTAGAGAAGGGAGAAATTAGGGAGCAACATTATTTAGATGACGTAACTTTTAGTTGGCACAGCAAGATTAATTAGGTAGGAGTAAGTATAGCACTTACTCTAAGAAAAGTCAAGTCTGATAAATTAATAGGTCGTTCTACTGATCACACTTAATATTTTAGATGCTTCAAATATTTTTTGCAAATCATATTCAGAACATTTAACTTAAACAGATTCATCAATCACTATTACTGACAACATAGTGAGCGAAAGACTTAGGTCAGCTTAACCTAATTAGACAACATTCGTATACTTTTCTAATATATTTGTGGGCGTGTATCCTTCAGTTTAATTTCATAGTTTATGGAAGTAATATGTTACATTTCAAGTTTCTAGAAATAATAAACCAAATTCACAGGCAATCAGAATATTACTGCTATTAAAGGGGTTCTTTTTCATTACATGTGTTGGTATGTTATATTCTACTTAGTTAAAGGTATATATATATATATATATATATATATATATATATATATATATATATATAAAGCCGGTTTTCTGTAGCATGTAGTAAAGCAGACGCTAAATCATTCACAAAATGACATTTAGAAAGAGTTTGTAGCAGGTTGAGTTAGGTTGATCACTCCGTAATGTAGTCATCAAACATGACTCTTCCTCCTGCGGATCCAAGCAATTATATGAAGGTTGGTTGAAGAGCAGGAAGAGTTGGTCACCTACACCAATCATACTCCAATCTCCCTTCTTCACTAGATAAAACCCTGCCCTCTTCAATCTTCCAGGCAAAGCGTTCACTCCACCTTCTCTCTTCAATCATCCGGGCAAGTTAAGGTCGTCATAGAATGGCTGATACCAGAAGCATTCAAGCAATCCTAGTTGCGGCAATGGCAGCCGTGCTATTGGCAGGTGCAAGCGCCCAGTCCAGCTCGTGCTCGTCGGCCATCATGAGCTTGTCGCCGTGTTTGGACTACATCACAGGCAACGCGTCCACCCCCTCCAGCTCATGCTGTTCGCGGCTCTCCTCCGTGGTGCAATCAGAACCACAATGCATTTGCACCCTCATCAGTTCTGGAGCTTCATCGGCTTCCTCGCTCGGAATCACCGTGAACCAGACTCAGGCGTTCGCCCTTCCCAGTGCCTGCAAGGTTCAAATCCCCCTCAGCCAGTGCAATGGTAAGCATCGAGCTCCATTACTCCTCGTCTTGCAATTTTCAATGAAGTTACCTAATCTCGTTAATGGCATGGCATGAACCGAGAACAGTAAGTGGACCGAGTGCATCCCCAGCAACACCATCCACATCACCTTCAGGTATGAGAGTGATCTTTGCCATGCGTGTCCCTTTCAAGTTTCAGTACAAGGGTGCCAATTTCTAAGTGCTTTATGTGCAGGTGTTGGATCAAAAAGTAACCCTGCAACAAGCACAGACTCATCAGATGGAGCCTCTGCAGGAGTACCTCTTGCGCTTCTGCTCTCTCTGGTCGCGATCGGGGCATATCCTTTCACATCTCTCGTCATTGTCTAAGGCTGCAGCTTTTTGGTATATGTATACAGTTATCGGATGGTGTATGAGTGGGCTTGTATTCTTTTTCTTCTGGCGTTCAATAATGTTTGTCTCCGCTGAGGCCATTTGGAGATGTAGCCGTGAATCAAATTTTGCTTATGTGACACCTATGACAGAACATGCATCTTTATAATATTTGTTTCTATCCATTTATATTATTGTTTTACAAAGCATATGGTATGCTTATCTTAAGGAATATATTGTATTTGAATATTAGCACAAAAATAAGGAGTGGTTAACACCAATTACATCTAAAAAAAATAGATTCAATGGTCCTAACAAAATTTGTCAACCAATTGGTACATTTATTTTTTTCCTAAAAATATATGACGATTTTTAATTAGAAAAAGAATCAAGCATGTATAAAATATTCCTAACTAAATTTAGAAGTTTGCAAGGAGATTTTTTTCCTTTCCTGTTCAAAATACGAATAAGATTCTGACATAAGCCTCCATTTACTAACACAATATCTAATAATACAATTTGCTCCTACATCTTGTGATGGTTGATGGTGAGATCCATCAATTTAAGCCATCCGTATATCGAGACGCATCACTGTGAGATAGGTACCATTGCAAACCATGATACATAATTTCATAGTTATGGTGATTATTAATATCATCTTCCAACCAACAAGCATTTATGTGTTCGATCAAGATGCGTATTGTTAATATACAATACATTATTGCTTCTTCATATATGGAATTAATGCAAACTATCTCCACATGTTGAAAAACTTGGCTTAACAAGATATATATATTAAATTAGTACATAGGTGGTACGTACATTTGGATTTAAGTATAATAAAATCTACATGAAATGGAGTTTATCTAACAAAGTTCAAATTAGGCTATTTATATTTTTAGTTATTTTTAAAAAAAAGTTAAGCAGAAAAATAAGTATTCAGGTTGGGTTTGAAGACATGTTTTGAGTTTGAATGAGAAATTATGGACATCTCCTTCCTAACTAAGTGCCTAAGGAAGGGTGTATAATAATATATCTACATAATGTATCTCTTTCTCCGTTATAGTTTAATATTAGGTCTTTTATAACAATTTAAGTTTTGAATTATTTGTCATCCTATAAAAAAATTATCATTGTGTCAAAATAGATCGTTTGTTTAAAATTTGTATCTTGACTTATTTTGAAGCTTAATTAATATTAATATTTTTTTGTCTTTAATTTTGACTTTAACAATGTACTTATTCAATTTCACATATCAAATCTAATCAAAATATTAGAATTTTACACGTTACTTTTTTTTCTCAATAATTTAAGTTTTTGGGTCTTTATGTTCTCATTATGACGATGAATAATGTCCCTTCATAAAGAATTATATGATCAAATTAATTTGAACATTTTGACCTAATGATTAAGTAAAAAGAGCTTTTTACTCTTGCAACTTTAAAATTTTTTTCATCCATGCTAGGCCACTTAGCTCATCGACCCTCGTTATGATGGGCTACGACCCTTGTATGGAAATGTAAGTGGCTGGGGGAGGGAAGGAGATTGCCAACATTGTTAACTGGCATATAGAGACTAAGGTAATTAGAGGAAGGGAGGGGGGAGACCGACATTGCTTACCAACTTGCATGTGGAAGTATAAGTAGTCATAAAAGAGGAAAGAGCAGTTAGTATTACTAGCCTATGCGTAAAGACATATATAAATCAGGGGGTAATCGATATTGTTACAAACTCACATATTGAGGTACAAGCGAACACGCGATATAATGTAATAGTTAAATTATTTTTCAAGTTACAAATGAAGATATAGATGGTTAGGAGAGGAGAGGAGGGTAGCTAGAGACTCGCAATCAATTGCAAGCTGAGAGTCTATGAATGGGGCTACCAAGCATAAGGATGGAAGGGAGTGGTGGGTGGGGGCAAAGGTATGACCAAGCATGGGGCAAAAGAGGCTAGTTGGGGAGGATGTGCGATGGAGGACCGTGACTATTACGAGAAAATGATCAATTGTGAAAAAAAAGTTTATATATATATATATATATATATATATATATATATATATATATATATATATATATA